GGGGGGGGGGGGGGGGGGGGGGGGGGGGGGGGGGGGGGCGGTAGGGGATCGAAGACACAGGTATCGACAGCGCAACTCACAAGAGCAGCAGCTGAACTAAATCACGCTGGCATCGCTGCCTCGTGCGTGATCGTGACACGGACAGGCGTCTCGTGGGGGCCGTCTGTTTTCGGCTGGTCTTCTGAGTCCTCACGCAGATTCCGCCCGTAGCGCGCTGCCGCTGGAGGTGTCGCGTTCTATCCCGTTGTCTGCGTCATGGGGCGCACGTTGACGGCCCTTGCCGCCGCAGCTGGCCTCCTGCAGCTCGATGCGGTGAGCTGGGCTTTGCTTCGCGCAGATTCCGCCATGCAAGCGGAAAGGTTGATGTAGGAGTTTCTGCTGTTTGCCTTGCCAACGCGCGCGTTGTTCACCGGATACCATGGACGTACATGCACATGCCTGGGTGCGGTGTGTACACATCACATGTGCAGCCGCCATCGCAGCCAGCGTTCGGTTGTCACGTGGTTCGGACGTAAGTCAGCCGGTTGCGAGACTCTGAGGCGAGATCCTCGGTGACACACCCGACATACGATCACCTTCTCACGGCTGGTGTGGTAGTGTAGCTCTGTGTTGGTCTGGGGTTGGCGCTTACTGCTGTAGGCCTCTTTCCTTTTGTGACCGGAAAAGGAGGTTCAACATGTCTTCGGTGCCGCAGGCTTTCAACAAGAGGTGTTTCTGTGTGTGAGCGCCAGCATGACTTGGGAACACGATCTCACGAGAAAGCACTGGTCGAATCTGCTGCTGATGGGGACACAGAGCACGAGCGCAGGGAGGAAAAAGCTTTTCACTACTGTTTGCGCGACAGGAGCATCTGGGGCGTGTGATTATCTGAGACTTTGCTTTTGAGTTTGCCACAACTCTACGTGACGAAACACATGCACGGTGCAACGGCACCTCGCGAGAAGTGTGCCGCGCCGGTTTTCCAACTCCGGCGTTTATGAAGTGGGGCTTCGTGCGCATGTTTTCGGCCCGATTTTGTCCTCCCAACAATAACACAGCATTCAACACACCCCTTCTTCGTTTGGTGTGCTCGTCTCCCGCATCATCCGCAGGCTACCGCATTCCAGCTCCCGCTGGGAGCACGCTCTAGAGCAACAAGGCCAGTACAACAGGAACGGGTAAACGTGACGCCGTTCTCGGCGCGCCCCCGTTCCGAAGGCGCGTTGCGCATGACCGTGGCCCCGGAAGGGCTGGACTCCCTAGGCAAGGCCAAGGATCCGACGGAGGCTGCAGCCACCCCTGACGGCAAGGACGCGTCGCCGGCGGCTGCTGGGGAGGAGGGGGAGAAGCAGGATGTCAGCAGCAGCGGAGCTGCTGCAGCGCCGAAGCCTGAAGCCCCGCCGGAGCCTCGGGTCGTGGACGTGAGTCACAACACACACACACACGCAAACCCCCTACTCCTATTTGTCTTGCGCCTTTCTTCGTTCGTAGTTTTTTGTTTGTTTGTTTTCTCTCATCATTGAACTCTGTCGTCTGTCCCTCTGGCCCCTATCCTCCTCTTCCACCAGCTCGACGACCCAACCGGGGTCACATAGGAGGGGGGGTTGGACCCCCTCCGGCGGTTCCTGCCTGAGATGTTCTTATCACGAGAAGGGTACAGCAATCCCTTCCCTCGCGACTTATGAAGTCGATCAAGTTTAGTAACAACGAGCTTTGCAGCGCGTCGCTTCCAACGGAGACCAGAATTTGGTTAGCGAGAAAAAACTCACTCTGTCGGCACTCGAACCCATGACCTGGCCCTCAGCAGGGTACGAGGCTACCCACTAGACCACCGGGGTGACCGGTGTCTAGTGTGGGAGCCTGTACTTTTTCTTTCCACTTTCTTTCCCCGTGAAGGGCGTGGTACGGCCGTGCGGTGCCGTGAGAGGGTGGCGTGGAAGGGTGCGTGTATTTGGGGGGTGCACGAACGGCGGTTGTAGTCGCCCCTGCTGCGTACCATATGTTGTACATGCTACCGTAGGCAGATGTTGTTCGCTGACTCGATTGTTGGATCTGCTGACTGATACTGCTGTAGCGGACAAATTTAACCGGTGTTGTCATCTAAATGAAACAGACCTACAACCGCGACGTAGATCGTCACGTACGTGTAAGAGAGGATCTGTGAGTTGATTCGTTGATTCCACTTCAGCAGCGACGTGTCCAACCTTTCGCATGGCATGTCTCGCGGCAGTGGTGCACTTTCGTGCCCTAGTGTTGTGTGTGTTTTCGTCCTATTTATTATGGTGACAGTCCCCTCATTTTTCGTGGTGAGACGTGTACTACACTTTTCAGGGTATGTAGAGTACTACGCTTTTCAGTGTATTTTTTCGTACAACTACAACCATCCAGGGTCACACAGGAGGGGGGCAAACACCAGGGCTTTCTTGTTTTTATTTCTTTTCATGCCCAACCTTCCTCCTGCGGTGCGTGCTGAATTATATTTTTATCGCGAGAAGGGTCCAGCCGTCCCTTTTTCTCGTCAACGGTGCTAACGTCAAAGAGTGGTACTCACGAGAGCTTGTCAGCTGTACTTCGCTTTCACGCGCACATTTCGTAAATTTTTCACCCCATGGGGATTCGANCTTGTTTTTATTTCTTTTCATGCCCAACCTTCCTCCTGCGGTGCGTGCTGAATTATATTTTTATCGCGAGAAGGGTCCAGCCGTCCCTTTTTCTCGTCAACGGTGCTAACGTCAAAGAGTGGTACTCACGAGAGCTTGTCAGCTGTACTTCGCTTTCACGCGCACATTTCGTAAATTTTTCACCCCATGGGGATTCGAACTCACGACCTCTGCGACTAGCGGATTGCGAGAATACCACTAGACCACCGGAGCGAGCGGTACCCTAGTAAGGGAAGGTCACTGACCGTGTCGATGAGGCGCTTGCCATGGAATGCAGGCGTACGTCCCTGGTTTCTGTGAGAAGACTTTGGCACTACATCCATCGAGGGGCTGTCTACCCTTTGAAAACCGCTGACTTCGTACATCCGTTTCGGCCTTAGTTGAGATCTATCTCGTGCATGAAGAGTACAATCTCATCAGCTCCTATCTGTCTGTCGAGGACGATAGTTGTCGGATCAAAGGGAGGACTGACTCTGCACCTGTCACACCCGCAACAGATGCGGGAGGGAAACTGCGGGCCCGACGGATGGACCGATCAACAACAGTGGTAGTGTCTTATTCTCAGTATACTTATTCGTAGTATACTCTAGCCAGAACGCCCCTCGGCCACTATGCTGTACCGTCCTCGCCCTCCCCGCCGCGGCTCTACAAGTACCTCCCACCCGTTGTTTGTTGGTGGTGGTGGTGGTAGAGGCTGATCGCCGCATGCAGGGTTACGACGTCAAGTCTCGGCAAGGGCATTTCCTCCTCTCTGCTCTGTCGCTTTGGCTGGCTCTGCCGATACATCCGCATACGCCCACTTCTTCTCTGTGCATGTATTTCAAAACCCTCCCCCCCCGCCCCCCCCCTTGCTATGGGCCCCTTCGGCACTTCCTTTTATCTACAGGAGTCGAACTTTACGGAGCTGGAGAAAGCCTTTGCGGAAGCGAGAAGGAGAAGTCTTGCTCAGGCAGCCGAAGTCAAGAAGGAGCGAAACCCGCCGCCGCCTCCGGAAGAGGAGGATGGTGCTTCCGATACGAAGAAGCCGGTGGCGTCCGAGGGTGGCGCTGCGGCAACCCCTGAGGTAGGATGGAGCAAAACAAATACCTCGAATTATGATGAACATGAACACCTGGGTATGTGCCCCTGAGGTATACATGGGATCGAGAAAATGACCGGGGTTTGTACGCGGGAGCGTGGTTGCGCCGCGGGCTTGAAGGTATATGACGGGCGGTACACGCATCACAGCGGTAGTGCAGTAGCGGTGGTGGGGGGGGTTTCATGCTGCCGTGCTGCGGCGGTGCATCAGAAGACTGCCGTCGGTACACGCCGGGTCCACAATACCGCACCGTACCGCACCTACGTTCACGTTTTCTCCGTCGCCCGGCCCTTTGTGCGACACGGAAGAGCGATAAATACGATTGGAGTGTATCATCCCGTCGTGTTTTTGACAATGATTTTCTGTTGTTTTCGCGTGGAGGAGGTACCAATCCTTCTTGCGACGGTGTATTGGGCGAAGGAGCCCGTCTGGCGTGATGAGGAAGAAGCTGTTTGTCCTTGTTCTCACAACAATTTTTTTGTTGACCCTCTCTTGCTTTTTCTCTTTCTTTCAGGCGAAGCCTGCCGCCGCTAAGCCTAAGCCCGCCACCATCGCACCCGGCAAGACCGAGGGTGCCAAGATGCGAACCACCGCCGGGACAAAGAAGCCGCCGATGATGGTGAAGGTGCGCATTCTGTGGCGATTGATTGGCGTATGTGTGTGTGTGCGTGCTTTCCCCTAGTTCGTTCGTTGCGTTGCGGGCGGTGGTTGCTTGTGCGTGCGTTTTTTTGCCCTCATTGCGCTAGTGGCGGTGGTGCTGCTGGTGCTCTGGTGCTCTGGTGCTCTGCCCGTGCGTAGAAACGGTAGGTGTTGTGGTTGCTATTGGTCAGCCGGCTGGTTGTTGGCCGGAGTGCTGTGTCGTGCCGCGTATGTCATGTATTTATTATCGCCTGCTGTCTTGGTTGCAGCGGAGAGGAATCTTGTGACTCCATCTACGAGTTGCTGTTGCGTGTGTCCCGCGTAAACAAGCATCGTGACCCCCGATGGTTTTCGTTTCGTGCGGCGTTGTCATTGCGGCGGCGGCGGCGGCGGGCAGGGTACCCCGCCCAAGGAGGCCGAGGTGATCAAGATCAAGTCCACGCCCAAGGCTCTCAGGGAGGAGGTTGAGGTAAACGGAAGTGAAGGGAAGGGGGGGTTAGAGGCGTTCCCGGCTACGTGTTGGTTGTTCAGATCGACGGTATATGTTGTGTCGGTTCGGGTAGATTGACTCTAATGGGGTCGGTATCGGTGTCGCTATTGGTGTGGGAATTGTCGTCGCTGTTCCTGTAGTCTTGTACCCCGTCTAGGCTGACCGGACTCCATTTCCTGGGCCCTCCCGTTCCGTCCGCTGATTGGAAATACTGTACCACAAACACATGGTCGGCGTCTGAAGGCGGATAAGAGCACGGCAGAAAAGCCCAAGGTCGCGAAGAACGCGCCTGTCGCGGAGAAACCGGCTGCTGCTGGTAAGCCTAAGAAGGCGGCGACCCCTGCCGCGGCGAAGGGAGGGGCGTTCAGCCTTGGAGCCGAATCGCTGGAAGAATTCTTCGGTCTGACCAAGAAGCCGCGCCTGGTGAGAGGTAGATCTGACCACACCTACACATGTGTAGTTCGTGCCCCCCGCCCAGGCAAGCGGTGTCTTTTTACCGGTTGGGCCTGCCGGTACTGGTGAAAGAAAAAAAAAAAAAATTCCACGAGAGAGTCTGTAACACCCCGGCAGATGTGTGTGATGGCAATTGGCCGTTGTGCGTTGCTGTGGCGGATGCACGTCACGTGGTTCGTTTACATTCACCTGTAGAGTGTTGGGCGACACACCGCTGTCGCGACATAGCCAGGTTTGTTTGTGCCATCGTCTCGAGTCGTGTTTGAAGCACGTCTTTTATGCAGTACCCTAGCATGACGCAAGGGCTTTCCTTCGAACTAATGCACAAGGACGTGCCTTGGAGTCTTCAACATACTGCAGTTAACATTGTGGCGCAACCTACAACCTTCAATTGGGTGTGGTGGGCTTGCGATCGAGTCAGCTGTAAGCCCTTGAGCCTTGCTCTGTTTAAGCCTTTGAGCCTCACTCTGTTTGAGCCTTTGAGCCTTTGAGCCTTACTCTGTTTCGACGTCCCTTAACTGCGTCGTTGAACTTTTGTTCCAATTGCTTGTGGTGGTGAAAGGTCTCGACGACCACGCCGCCGTCCGATGAGCCCGAGCCGGCTCCGATGGCCGAGCTTGACCCCACCGCCGTGGAGGCCATGATCAAGGACAACGGCCTCAACGAGGTTACTCTCAAGGTATGCATACATACATGCAGTCAACGCGGTGCTATGCAGGGAGGGACCCAGCTTGTGTCGAACTGCTGTCTGTGGGGACTCGAGACCACGACATGGCTGGTTTGCGACAATTTTAGTCTACCGGAAATACAACAAACCAGACGTGTCGCGGTCGTGAGGGAGAGTGCTCAGCACGCTCATCAGAATGCTGGCGCTTTTTTCAAGCGTACACGGAGCTCTCCCTCACGCATGCACCACGGCACTCGTCCGTCTCTCACCGGCCTCCCCACGTCACGACCATGTTTTTCGCCAGGAAAACTTCCGCAAGATGGAAGCCGAAGCTAAGGCTGCCCAGGCAAGCTCCTCCACTCCCGCGAAAACGCCTCCCTCCAAGGAGGGCGCCAAGGCCACCGCCGCCGCCGCTGCCGGCGACGGCAAGGTCTCGGCGGAGGAGGCTAAGAAGATTGCCGCCGCGGCGGCTAAGGATGCGGTCGCCCTGTCGCCGAACCCGATCGTGGACCTGCTGTCCTCCGCGTTCAACTTCGACAAGTTCGACCCTGAGGATAAGCCGGGACCCCCGATGGCCGGCAGAAAGGCGGAGGAGCTCAGGGCCGCTGCTCTGAACGCCGTCAAGGAAGAGAAGGAGGAGACGACATCGCCGAAGGCTGCTGCTCCTAAGGCTGTCGCTCCTAAGGCTGTCGCTCCCAAGGCTGCCGCTCCTAAGGCTGCCGCTCCGGCGAAGACGCCCACAAAGGCGAAGCCGGAGGGCGGTCTTGGAGGCCTCCTGGGCGGCATGTTCGGCACGGACCAGCAGGGCTCTGATAAGACGGCCGCGGCACCGAGGCCCAAGGTCGTCGCCCCGCCCAAGGCCAAAGCCGCCGCCCCCAAGGCAGTCGCTGAGGAGGAGGGGGAGAAGGAGGGAGGTCTCGCGGGCGTGCTGAGCGGGATGTTCGGCGCCCCCGTGTACGACGACGAGGTGGACACCATCCCCAAGAAGACTTCCGCCGCCCCTCGCGCGATGCCGGTGTTCGCCCCGCCCCCGGCGCCGGCCAAGGCTCCGGCGCCCGCGCCGCCCAGCAAGAAGAAGGACGCCGCCGCGCCGTCTTCGTTCCTCGACGGCCTCTTCGGTGGCGGCGGCGAGAAGAAGACGTCGACGCCGCCGCCCAAGGCTAAGGTTACGCCGCCGCCGGCCTCACCGGCGCCGACTCCGGTCGCCAAGAAGCAGGCCCCGGCGCCGCCCAGCAAGAAGAAGGACACCGCCGCGCCGTCTTCGTTCCTCGACGGCCTCTTCGGCGGCGGCGGCGAGAAGAAGACGTCGACGCCGCCGCCCAAGGCTAAGGTTACGCCGCCGCCGGCCTCACCGGCGCCGACTCCGGTCGCCAAGAAGCAGGACCCGGCGGCAGCCTCCTCGATGTTCGACGGCCTCTTCGGCGGCGGTGGCGGCAGCAAGTCTCCTGCGGCGAAGGCGCCAGCTGCAACCAAGAAGGCGGCGCCGGCTCCTGCGCCGGCCGCCAAGCCGAAGGCGAAGCCGTCGCCGGCGCCGTCAATGTTCGGAGGCATGCTCGGCGGCAGCGGCAAGAAGGAAGCCAAGGCCGCCGCCCCGGCGCCCGCCCCCGCGCCGGCGCCGGCGCCGAAGCCGGCGCCGGCGTTCAAGATGTTCGGCATGGGGGGAGGAGCGCCAGCGGAAGCGAAGAAGGCAGCGCCTGTACCCAAGGCCAAGTCTCCCGCCGCCAAGAAGGCCGCCGCCCCGAAGCCGACACCAGCGAAGAAGTCTCCCGCTTCTTCTGGAGGAGGCATGTTCGACTTCTTGGGCGGGGGAGCGGCGACCAAGAAGGAGGTCGCGCCGCCTCCCGCGCCCGCTCCCGCGCCGGCGAAGGCAAGCAGCAACCCGTTCTCTGGCCTGTTCGGCGGTAGCGGTGTTTCAGGGACCAGCGCGAAGAAGAAGCCGAAGCGGCAGCCGGCGCCTGCGCCCCCTCCGGCACCCACGCCGATCGTGTCCCGGGTGAAGACGATGGATGACTCGTTCCTCAGGAAGGTTTCGGTGATGCTGAGGCGCAACCAGGTGGGACGCATAGGCGGCGATCTCGATTGGAAATTAGTTGAGCAGTGTTATACTTTCATGCATACCAGAATGATGGCGTCGTTGTTTTGTTCCTGTTCTTGTGTTGTCGTGTGCCAGAGCAAAGCGGCCCGGAGCAAGTAAATGACCTGTTGTTTGCTTGGCGTCGATCCACCCCAGCAGCTCGTCTGCCGGCCTGCCTTTGTTAGGCTTGAGGCTAACGGCGGTGTAAACTTCGTTTCTTTGATGAGCTGTGTGCGCCTTCGCTGGTCCTTGGTTGCTCCATACTTCTGCCCAACACATTCCTGCTGCCCTCCCCCTTGTACGGTGTTTACCTCTGACTTGGTTCACGTCTGTTTGTTGCGTTGTCGCGTTGTGCTCACGACCGCGGTGGGCACACGACCATGAAAATCGTAATCATCCACGGTATGAACCAGAGCAAGATCAAGAAATTCCAGCAGCTGACGGACCGCTTCAGGGGGGGGCTGATCAAGGCGCCCGTATACTACGCTGGGGTGGAAGAGCTCTTCGGAGAGGACAACGTCGAGGTGAACCACATTATAACAGCCCACGTTACGAAAAGAGCAAAGCAGAGATGCGTGTGGAGCAAGGCAGCAAGTACCACCAAAGCTATGATATCGTCAAGCGTCATGCCCTCGATCTGTGTCGGAAGTTGGAGAGGACTGGCTCCGATGAACCAGCCCATGCATGCTTGAGGTGCCGATGACAGCCGAAGAAATACAGTAAGATACTTCGCAGGCATTACTTCTTACCCTGCCCTTTTTTTTTATTTTCCATCGAGTGGGCACAGCTGCTGTAACCGCGCTTTCTTCCTCCCCGGACCCCTCTCTTAAACATGCAAGAAACCTACCCGTTCATCGGGATAATATTTTCCCCGCACGAAGCGATATGTTGGAAGCAGCCTTCATCTTGCTTAACCCCTTTCGGTCTAGGCTGGACTGTCAGTTTTTTTTTTTTTGCGCCAAAAGATTTGCATATATGAGAGCGAGAGCGAGCGGGAGAGAGAGAAGTGCAGAGAAAGACACCAGTGCACTTCTGCACACGCAACAGCTACCTCCACCTGTAGGCCATGAGGAAAGCCGGCGACAGGGTGGTTGGTGGCCACAGACAGGGTCGAAGAAGGGTTGATAGGTGGTCGCGCTGCGGTCAGTAGGGCAGGTTAGCTGTGTAGACTTTGAAATGATCAGTGAAGACCCATAGCTGGTATTGTACTTCTGTACTTCTCTGTTCTCTGTCCCCCCCCGAAATGTACCCTGTCAGCTCTCTAGAGCTCCTGTGTCTTTCAAACAACAAGCACATCCACCAGCACACACCTGTACCTCTCGTGGTATCCTAGGTTCGGGCGAGGGTGTTTGTGGAGCTACGAGTGTGGATGTGTTGCTGACTTGTTTTTTACTACTCTACAGCATAGTCTAGTAGCAGTTTTGTTCTTCGTTGTAGCTGCCAACACAATGACTTCTGGATGCTGGGAACGATTTTCAAATTGTTGGTAGAAGCAGCATACCCCACGATATCGTCGACATCTGGGCTTCGGCAGGGCTTGCAATACCCCTCCCTTGCTTCCCTCTGCTTGCAGCAGTGGCCTCCTACATTCTCGCGAGTGTACGTGTGGTGCTGTGAAAGAACACATATGTATGTATGTACGTACGTACGTATGAATGTAGTATGCACACACGTTTATGTATATACGTCGAGAGATTCATGATTTGGCATTGATAGGCCCCATTCCCGAGACCTTGATATGTCCCGCTGTCACTGACGTCTCTTCATTGGTCAGCCGGTTAGCGCGGGTTCTTCTAATCTAGACACACCTACCTATGGACTTGCCAATACACTTCGCGAAGGGCTGCAGGGCGGCAACTCATCGACTTGCCCCAACACCAGCATATGCAAATTATCAATCAATGATCAGTCAGAAAGCCTCAAGACTCAAAAGGGTGAACCTGTATACCCCCCCCCCCGATCAACACCGTCTCCAGGAAATCATCGGCCCCCTCCTGGCAGCGCTCCCCGAAAACGACAAGCGAAAAACCCTCCAGGCCGTCTACTCCAAGGCGCAGAGGGCGAAGAACGGGGAGGGCGAGTCGGACGGGGGAGGCATTGCTTTCCTCTTCGGCGGCTGGGGGGGCAAGTCCAAGACGGACACCGCTGTTGAGCCCGCGCCGGCGCCGGCGCCGGCGCCTGCGAAGAAGGGCAGCATGAAGAAGCCGGCGGCGGGAGGGAAGAAGCCGGCAGCTGCAGCGGCGGATCCGTACGCGTTTGCCGCGGCGAAGCTCTCCGGCAAGGACTACGAGCTGTTCAAGGCTCGCACAACGTTGTATGTCAGGGGGGGAATCAACGCTAGGCAAGTTTAGCCGGTGTTGCGTGCCCGCTGCTGTACTGCGCACAACTTTGTATGCCAGGGGGAGAATTAACGCTAGGTATGCCTAGCCGGGGCGGCGGAGTTGTTTGATCGCTTGCTGTACTGCTGTCTTGGCGTGTTGTTGTGCTAGCGTATGTGTGTCTTAATTTGTGGGATTCCGTTTTTCTGGAAGCGTTGCGTTCTGCATCGTCCTCATGTCTGTGCAACACCGACAGGATCATTTCTCTCGTCTTTAGTGCAACGCGTTTCTCTCCAACTCTTTCGTTGTTTTCGGAGATGCTCGGCCTCAGAGAACGATTGACTCCCTCCCCTGCGTACGGCTTCGTGCTGCACCTTTGAACGCGAATAGCCTTGAGGCACCTATGATACGCTGTGCCTCTTGTTGCCTGCGTGCCGCTTGCCCCCACCCTGACATGTTCGTCTCGCACCTGGTGCTACTTATTAGTACAAAAGCGTCGACGACGAATGGTCTAATTCGGTAGCAAACGAAATGATAACATTGTCAACCACAGACTGTGTCTGGACATCTCTAATATTCGCGTAAGTTCGATTGGAAATGTCAAGCCAGCGTCCATTCTGGAAAATTGAAGCAGCATTTGGTTTTGTTTTCTTACGTAACCTTCGTTTCCGATGTCTGTCTCCTCCTTATCAATGGTGCCTCGACGACCCTACTGACTACCGCCGCAGGAACTACTACGACACGTTAGTCGCGGTCTTCGGCGCCAAGGGGGTTTCCGCGCAGCTCCCGGCGTTACTCGAGACGTTGCCGCAGAACAAGCGCAAGCTGCTTCAGGACGTCGTTGACGGGCTGTCCAAGTAGGGTGGGTCCGTCCCTTCCGGGCAGTCGCTCACTCGGTCTTGTTGACACTGAGTATCAATCAAAGCACCTAGATCTATTGTGGTGGTTTGGTCCCCGCATGTTCAATCGGGGGGGGGGGGGGGGGGGGGGGGGGNAGTGTGAAGAACGATCGGGTTGTCACGGTAGAATTCGCTGGTCGATTTTCCATGTTTTGTCTTTTGCCAAGGACAACGACGGTGATGAGGCACTTTTGTCTGCCTGTCTCTCGGTCAGTCGCTGCTCCTATTTAATTGCTAGAAAAGCTCATCGAAGCTATATTAGTTATTATACTTCCAGTTTGTTCAAGGGTTATGGTTATAACGTGAGATACAATGCACGTCTGGACCCATTTGTCTGGGCAGCGATAGTTTAGGACGGTGGCAAACTTGGGGTCGTGGGATTGAATGACGCGGTGGCGAAGGCGGCATCTATCGAAGGGATTGATGCTTTATCGAAGGTTTTGTGACTCGTGCGGAATGCCGTGAGTGAATTAGAGGTGGGATGCCAGCGGTGCCTCGAGCTCCTGAGGCCTTCGGCACACGCTGCTTGGTGTGGTAGGTAGGGCACGTTGTGTGGGATCCTGTAAGTTGTCATCAACACGGAACACGTTTCTTCATAGGACTTACCATGCCGTGCTGGGATATACTGCCGTAAGTGGGACACGTGGCTAATAGTGCACCCACGCACTGCGCAGCGCGTGCATTCATGTGCCGTGTCGTTTTAAGATAGAAATCAAAAATATAACGTACGGAGCCGTCTAACGCTCGTGGCCTCCTCAGCCCGTATCAATTGCTCGCAAACCAAGCGCACGCTATTTTTCATCTGCGCTCCTGACAAGACCCAAGGAGACCTCGGTGTGGTTTCCGGCCAAAGAATATTTCTCGACGTTTCTGAATTGAAGCTTGCCCTGAATTGATTATATGCTATGTGTACGGTTGCCCGGCGCTTCTGTTGGATACTGCTTTTCGCCACGTACGGTGTTGGCTGTGGATCAAACCGTACCTTAGATCCGAAAGGGGGAAATACATGCGTATTTCGTCGTTTCATGTGTTACGTCTCGGGGAGGACATGAATATACAGACACAAAATCCTCCATGGGAAAACCCAGGTCTCGCCGCCCTTTGTGGTTTTCTCAATTGCATACATCGGAAGTCCCAATACTCTGTAGACTGTTCAAAACCAAGGTTACGTACTGCGTACAGAAACGAACACAGAGGGAGGCAGCGGGAGACATGACAATCGCAATAGCCGACTCCTGCTGTCGTCTTTCGCGCACACTGGAGCCTGCCGTGGATTCCGAACAAGTCTGAACCTTGATTTTCCCTGAGTGCGGTGACCGATCGTATCCCGATTCACCTATCAGCCATTTGAGTATTCCTGACCTCAGGCGTACCCCCCTCTCCCTTCCCCGCCTTTTTTCTCGATCTATCCACTCTTGACACCTGGCACCACATACGGCCGGTACACGTCAAAAGCGTCCCCGACCCCTCTTGCGGTAAACCAATCCCCATCATCCCAAAGCAAGAGATGCACGAACGATAACAGTCCAAGATCCCATTTCCTCGCCGCTCTGCGAAAATAAAGCTGTTAAAACGAGTACATGCCACCACCCTGCGTGTTGGTGCCCTTGGGACGCAAGAGCTTCTCCATGTTCTTCTCGATCATGTCCGCTGCGAGCACCAAGGAATCCCTGGCTCTTAGCAAGGTGTGGTGAAGGGAAACGAACCACTTCACGTCGAGGGCGATGAGGTAGTTGGCCGAGTCAGGCGCGAAGGAAGATTCGGAAGTCTTTTCTTCGGTGCTGGTGGACTCGGAGGTCTTAGAAGAGTCCCCGTCCTAAGAGAGAAAAACATACAGCAGTAGGTGCAATGTTCATGGCATCAAGAGGGAGATAACATTGAGTGCATTAAGAGGGAGAGAGAGAGGGATGGGAGGCGTGAAACAAGCCAAAACCAACACTACTGTCTAGCCTTGATGGGATGTTATGTCTACGCCAAGTCTGGTTCATGTGAACGAAGTATCGCGAGGTATCTAGTACAGAAGGAGTTAACAGTGATATTTTCGCCACGTGTATCGGTAGAATTTGTTGAACCCGAACGGGCGACCAAGAAAAAATACAAAGGAAGCATGCATGCCACGTTGGTTTTCCAATCTGAAGCAAAAACCACCCCGTTTCGTGAAAGGACACGCACGCAACACGGACGACAGCAGTTTTACTCAAATTTCGTCACACGCACGCACCTTTCCCCCGGTGTCCTTGGAAGCAGACGATGAGGTCTTGCTCTCCTTGGACTTCTTGCTCCCGATCTTGTCCCACGCCGAAGCCCGGCTCTCGAAGTAGCCCGGCATCTCTCCGAGGCTGCTCGCCACCGGAGTCGTGAGCTCGTCGATCCCCTTCGTGATTCCGGAACGTGAACAAGCGAACGCGTTTAGCAATGTACAGCACTTTGACCTTGAGATTACAATGTTTTTAGGCCCAAAAAGTGTCAATGTTCGTTAGCCCAACACACTAGATGCAGTAAAAAAGTAACCAATCAACGCTGACGAAACTGGTCGCTTACGTCAAGAAAGCTCTGCGAAACACGCCTATATTTGTCAGCAACACCACGACGCACAACACACACAACCACCGGACCACCAGCAAAGGATCATGTGCACTACGCTGGCGAATCAGGAGCACTAATATGGCCCATCAGTTGGAGCAGCAGCGCATGCACTTGTGTTGCTCACAGCAGCAGCAGAGAGTCGGAACAAAACACAACATATGAGAGCGGGGAACAATTAGACCGGCACAAAATCGGAGTCAACAGAGACCGGTCTTGTGCGTTGTTGCTGTACGTTCTGCCTCCGCCCATAAGCTGCCACAGGGGATCCTGAGCACATGCGCCCCTAACCCTGCTCACACTGATTTTCGGAGGCTCTCAACTTTGCTGTCCCTCGATGGATTGGTCTTAAAAACACACGCGAGCGTGTTTCGAAAAAGCTTGATACATTGCCTGCACGTGCCCGGAAATAGTGAAGTTTGTCTTGCAGTTTGTGTAGAAGATTGTCATTGGGCTCTGGTTTCCTGAATACGATGGCTGGTACCGCTACACAAGTTCCAATATTCTCCTGCAGATTGGTGATTGATGCAGGTTTGTACGTACCCCGACCCGTTAATTGTGACAGTCCCGCCCCCGACAGTCCCGCCTGCTGCCGCTCGCCCGACCACATCACACATCACAATCGTCACACGGCAGGCCACGGGACCACACGATTGTTGTTGTCTTCACATGAACACCGTTCCGTTCTAATGATAATTCTCATAAATAGTTCCGCTCGGTCTCCGTGCCGCAAAGACCACATTACGACCTCACACGGGCGTCCATGAGACCACACAGTCCCGCTGCTTGAGAGCACACATGTTTCTGGCAGTGGTCCGAGACGTTGGGAGATATCCGGTTGTAGGTTCGAACGCGTGGCCATCCTCGTGCCGTGTGTGTAGGTTTGATTACCGATTAAAATGTACAAGCATCTACACATCTCCCTCTCATGTTCTGTTGGATCTCTCTGCTGCGGGGCAGACGACGGTGTGCGTGTGTGTGCACAACTGTACTGTGTCGTACGCATATGCGCATCCAATCTCAAACGGGTCGGGGGGGGCGGTAGCCCACGGCGTCCACCGCCCTTGCATGACACCGTATATTGCTTGGCCCAACACCCAGTGGGGGTTTTGCACCAGAGGCGGCAGGCACCATCCTCAAGTTCTACTCAGGGGACGGTACTTTTGGTGTCTGTCTTCATAGACAGAAACACGGTGCCAGCCGGGACGGTTCCGTGGCACGAAAGGCTGAACTTGAGGATCGTGCCTGCCGCCTTTGGCGCAAGGCCTCGACTGGCAAGTCGCAAAAGTCGTGGTTCCAGGAGGGATGGAAGATAGCCATATATGAGGTGCTTTTTTTAATATATCAACTCAAGTTCATTCATCTTTGGGTTTTTAGGGCGTTGGCGCCTTGATCACGAACAATAAGCCAGGTCACGCCAATCTGCTGCTGGCACAACAACACGCTCAAGAACATAGCGGGGCCAATTCATCGAGGACGAGCAAAGTTCCGAGGATCAGCGTGAGCAGGGCTAGCGGCGCATGTGCCCCCGATCGCCTCTGGCAGCAATGGACGCCGGGAGACATGTGACACAGAGCACGAAGATGGGTACTCTTTCGGCAATATTTTTTTTCGGATTTTCAACATGTCATGTGCCCCCGGTCAGGCAACGAATGTCGAAACCGCTTCGCCAAGGCTGCCCTTTCCGTCTCTGAGAATGGGCTTTGCGCTCTGGCTTCAAGGCAGGGTAGTCGTTGTCCTCGAGAGCAATCATGCGCATGTCCAATCGTGTCTTCGGCAAAATCGAAAACGACGCCGTGAACAAACAAACTCTTGAAAAAAAACACGCGCTCTGTTTCCTTCGGCCATGGCTTTTCTGGGGGATCACCCTCAACTTTTGCCCATAGGAGCTCAAACGAGCCCAAGTGTCCCTCAACAGGAACGCCTTGGATCCGGCCGCGGTTTGTTGTCTTGTGGGCGCTGGAACCAAAGGTATCGAATCAACCGGACCAGATGTTTTAGTTCAAGGGAGCAAAATGGAACAAAAGGCAAAAGTACCCAAAAAAAGATACTCTGCTCGCACCCTTCCAAAGTGCAGAAGGCAGATGCGGTCTTAATGATTCATAGTGTATGGTCTATTGACAAGTGTCACAGAGAATGAAGACTCAGCTCTCCACCTGGAACCAGTAGTACTTGCGCCCGATTTCCGCTCTAAATCAGAGTACATGAAAAATTCGGCCACTGAGTCAGGAGAAGAAAAAACAATTATTTGACTTAATCTGTTTTTTCTGATCGGTAGTGGTGTAACCTCGAGGGCTAACAGTACACGGAGAGTTGCGGGAAAGACACGGCAGCCGTGTGAACAAGAAATAGCGAGGTTCTCTATGAACTACGTTGGGGAGATGCCGTTGCCGTTTCCTGACACGCTGAACAGACGTGAAACAAAAAAGGAAATACCACCAGAATTCAATATATGCTGTAATATTTCGGCGCGGCTACGAACGAAAAAGACAAGCAAGAGTATTTAGGATTTGTTGCAAACAGAGGCAACTTCACCTCTTTCCTCTTCCACGCGACACCCACAAAGGCATGGTGCTGCTCAGGATGGAAGGCTTCCAGTCTGGCATAACATGCTCCTACGCAACACTGGGGCTCCTTCATCCCCCCCGTCCCATGGGCAGATTGCAATGAATACTCGGTCCTCGACTACATCCTGGTAGATAGGGGGAGCACGCAGATCCCAGAGCTGCACGTAAATGTGATAGATATAGGTTCGGCCAACCACTTGCTCATATGGGCAAACATCGACAGATCTAGAAAGACGGAGAGTAAGAAACAGAGGAAAGTGTTCCGGTGGAAAGTAGAGCGTTTGGGAGACGAGGGGACACGGGATGAAGTACAGAAGGGGCTGGCTGGTAGTGTAGAACCCTTCAGGAAACTGCTGAGAAGNTGATAGATATAGGTTCGGCCAACCACTTGCTCATATGGGCAAACATCGACAGATCTAGAAAGACGGAGAGTAAGAAACAGAGGAAAGTGTTCCGGTGGAAAGTAGAGCGTTTGGGAGACGAGGGGACACGGGATGAAGTACAGAAGGGGCTGGCTGGTAGTGTAGAACCCTTCAGGAAACTGCTGAGAAGCGTCGACGACGTACAGGTAGACGTACAAGCAGCAGGGGACAGG